CGCAGGAAAACTTCATCCGTTGGGACCACGACAGAATTTTGCGTTAGCGGGTATTCCTAGGAAACCGTATTAACCCTTTGCACTCGGAAGTTTCTGCACAGGAAATATTCAACATTTTCCGACTTGATACAGTCGACATGATTTGAAACTAATTTAACGATAATTCACAGATAAATTCGTCCGCAAAGGGTTAAAATCATGAAAACACTGAATTGAACAGGATTCGATCAATCTAAAATAATCAGATTTATATAATATACAACTAACGGAAGATGTAATTACCAAATTAGAATCTAGTCTCTCGCCCCTAATCGCGATCGGTTTTACGGTACCAGCTCTGCCATTCACCCGAGTTAAACGATTGCTCAGGGCTCCCGTTAAATTCGCCCCTGTTCGTGTTCATCTTCGGCGTTCGCGCCAATTCGCAGCCAGTTAGTTTCGAAACGGTGAATCGGTTCGGGCGAAACGCGAACGCGAGGACCGCGCGATTTCCTGCACGATTCACGCTCGTTCCAAGAAAAAAATACGCCGGTGTGGTCCGGTGCCGTCACGCCACGCTCCGTGAGCATTGAAAGCGAGCGCGTGCGTGGGTTCCCCTGTCAGGGGAGGAAGGAACACGCGGAATTACCGGCACCTCTCTCGGTTTTCAGCTGATAATTAATAGTCGCGGGAACCGGGTCGGTGGTTCCTTTTCCGTGCCCGTGTTTCGCCGATTTCGCCGCAATTCTGTTGCGAATTGCCTCGGAGCGAGCCTTTTGCGGCACCGACCTTTCTTTTCTTCTTTTTCTTTCCTCCCCTACTCCCTTTGCCGGTTTCCCTCGCTTCCTTCTGCCTCGATCTCTGTAGCTCCGAACTATTACCGTTTTCATCTCATTATCGCGTGATCTAGCTTCTTTTCTCTGTTTTATTTTATTCGTCGTCGTGGTAGACCTCGCAATGGACTTACACTATGTTTACTCGATACCGAATCTCGAGTTCTATGAACTAAATTAGGGAATTGGATCGATGGAAATTTGCTTTTTCTTTCCATCGATAATACACGTATCGACTCGAGAGACGATTCCTAGTTACCGTTTAATTGGATTATGTACCGTGTGATATATAAACTATGATACGTTATGCATTGTGCTAACCATATTATATTAACCCTTTGCACTCGAGAAGTGACTCTCAGTCACCACTTGGTTTAATATAGTAAAACTGGAGATTGGATAGCAGGTAATTGGGGTACATGTCAGTGCGATCGCATCAATCAAAATCGGCGTAAACATTTACAAAATAATATTTCTAAGATCCAATATGCATTAATTTGACGCGTTCCGTAAATCTAATGTTAACGAACTGTCGTAACGAAACTTCATAAGTCCCCTGGCTGCTGTTACTCCACACCTTATCTTCTCGCGTTCTTTCGATGAAAAGTGTTCGGACGGCATCGAATTCCCCGAGAAGTCTTTGTCACGTGGGGCTCGTACATTGATTTCGAATAAGAGTGAAGGGTAGCGGAAGGAGGAGGAACGCGGCCGGCAAATCCAGTCGGGATAGAATGTAGCACGCGTGCGTTATTCATGGCGAGGGGGATCTCCGCGGATCGGCGGAACTTCGCTCCTCCTTTCCCCTCCGCCGCGATGTTTCCGTGAAAATGGAATTCTTTATCGCCTCGGAGGTTACCTTCGCTCGTCGATCGCTCCCGTTTCGAGCGTCTGATTCCCTTCCGTGGCGAATCTCGTCTGGGAGCTCGTGCATGAACGAAAGGGATCATCTCTCGCCGGGAATATCGTTTATTCGCGTTTCCCTATCAAGCTGGAGGGAACACGATAAATACTCGGAGCTCCGAATCATTGATAAAAGCGATGTGGACCGTATTCCGAATGACATCGATGGAGTTATCGATATATAGCAGATAGTTCGCCGAAAATTCGCACCTAATCAAGGAAACTCTCGCAGCTACTCCATTAGTTTCGAAGAATTCTTCAAAATTTATTCGTCGTTAGGCACGCTGTACTTAAGGAAAAACGTCACACATATTTTTGGTGGATTCCTCGGCGCAACGCGAAACTTTCGTTTAAAGTTTCACGGTCCTGCGAAGATCTAAGACTCTCTTCTTTATCGAGAGAAGATACTTCCGACGCGAAGTAAAGTTCCTTTGGTTAAAATGTTGCGCGAAGTTCCTTGCGCTCCTTGGAATTTAGTCATTTTAAGCGTCCTGTGTTTCTTTCGGGCGAGAATTACAAGCACTAGAGATTAAGTGGGTGAGCAAACTTCTTTGGTCGAATGTACATAGTTGGAAACTTCGCGCTTCCGCGATCCATTATGCTTTCGAACAATATCGCGCTGGTAATCGAGCTCTTTGACTAATCAAGCTATGTACCGCGTAGTCTATACCGGGTATCTCAAAATCCTTCAAAATTTCTTCAAAATCGAAGCAGACTATGAAAACGATTATATGCGACAGGAATATGTGACTGGAGAATAAACAGAAAAACGAAGAAAGTAAATCCTTGAATATCATTCATCCCATTAAAATTGACAAAAAACAAAATATCAAAGATTGGACCAAACCACATTGGCTTCCGAGCGACTGAATCCGCTCCGACGGAGATTCCGCCGGTGTTCGCGCGATTGCGTGTCGCCAGCGGCCTTCATAACGCCGAGGAGGAGATAACCTATCCGATAGGGCCTCGGCTCGGCATTCCCCGGCGAAAATGTCCCCATGGAAACGCCGGAGCGGAAGGAAAATCTGGCGAGCCGTAAGTGCTCTTAACGCGAGTCGCAGGCGATTCCTTTCCGCGACTTTACGGCTGGGACTCGGCCGGATCTTCGTCCCGGATATAAACTGTCCGATAGAAATCCTCTCGCGACGGAATTCCGAAACGCGCGGACACGCGGCGGGGTGCGCCGTCGCTTGATCGCGACGAAAACCATTCCTCGGACGGCCTGGCCGCTAAGAGCCCGAGATAAATGAAATTCTATCCGGGAAAACGATTCCCGTAACGGACGCGGAAGATCGTTGCGTTAACGACGAGGAAAGTGGCGTGGAATGGCCGTCCTCGGTTAGGGATCAGCCAGAAAAATGCTCCAACGATCGAATCCGAGTGCTCGGAGCGTCGAACGTCTAATTATCGCGCGGTAAAGACGTATCGATTGCGATTATGAAACGAACGGTCTCCGAGGCTCGAGGCGCGTTCGCTCGAACACGTCGGATTCGCCGGAGAGCCTCTCCCGCTTTTCAATGAAGTTCCGAGGAAAGTTTCGCCGTATTAAATTAAACTTCGACGAACTATGCGTGGCTCGTTTCGTCGGCCAGGCTCGGCCGTCTATATTAAGCAACTTTTTTATGTTCTTCATCAAGTTTACGGTATCTCGATACGTTACGCGATACGCTGTAAAGTCGGAGCGGAATGTTTCGGCACAGTGACTTTTTAATTGAACAAAGATCTCGTGAAGTTCGATGCCGCTCGGGAAATACGAAAGACGGAACACCGAAACAGGTTGGAAAACGACGACGATCTGCCGAAACGCACGAGGAGGGGCGATTGGAAAACGCTCCACGAGTTTGCTAACACGTTTTCGCAAACTCGAGGGGGGGAGCATGATTTTCAAGTCGAGAGTAAACTTGGTCGGCGCGCAGCCCGCGAACGCCCCCGGAGCGTGCAACTTTATATTTGACAAGGTCCACGGTTGAACTTTGCACTTCGGCCGGGGCCAGGTGTACGCTAACCGTCGGCAGACCGCGATCGACCGGTCGACCGGCCATTCTCGAGGAGTTAGCGGTCGTTTGCGCGCGGCCAACTTGTCCGCCGCGTGACCCGTAATCAGCTTACCGCCGATCCGTAAACGGATTACCGCCGGAAAACACGCTGGCCCGGATCATACGCGCGTCGCTTGCGCGAGCCGCGCGATAAATGCCCGCGGATCCACCGGTTTCCTCTGATAACGCCGTTTTTCGTGCAGCGCGACGCGTTTAGACTCCTCGTTGCTCCGTAACGCGTGCACCTCCCGGCAATTCTTAACACGCCGCTGACCGAGCGCGAGCGTACTCGTGTTTTCACGGTTCGAGTAATTCTCGAGCTGAGTTGTGTATGCACTTACATTGATTTATGCCTGAACGCGACGCTTTGTAAGAGTGTTCTACACCGTATTTAACTCCTTGCACTCCGTTGTCGCCGCTGCGGCGACATCGTCAGATAACTTGGTAACTCCTTGTTTGATCAAACTGAACTTTCAAATGTATACGCGCTCTTTTTAAGAGAGCAGCTCGTTCAATCTTCCACGGACGCGCGTGCCATTGTAAATACTGGAGTATTAGCTCATAGTAAAAACGACTCGGAGTTTCTGGAAGGTCGTACTAAAAACTGCTCGAAGTGCAAAGGGTTAATAGTTCGAACCATTGCAACGTATCTGTGAATAAAATGATGTAGATATATCAAACATTAAACAGTATCTGAAGTTCCCCATGAATCTCTAAACATGTTCATACTCAAAACACTTGCACAAGTCGAATCGTTATTAGCAACGAAGACTCCCGCGTTTTCAATAAATCACACACTCTAAAGTCGCTTTCATCCGTTTATCTCGAACGCGTCTTATCATCGAACAATTCACGCGTAATTAATGCGGATAAATGGCAAGCAGCAAGGCGCAATAGCCTCGAAAATCTCCGTGCCGGTGACGCGTCCATCGCGCTCGGGACCGATCGAATTTCTCACGCGTCCGAATGAACGGTGCCCGCAATGAACGATAATAACCGCGGAAAAAGGTGTAACACGTAGAAAAAGGAAGCGCAGCCGCGGTCGTTCGTCCCGGCATTCCGTTGCGGATAGATCGGGAAAGGCGCTCGGCCGAGCGAGCGAGCGACCGGTAGACCGGAGGCGATCGTCGCCCCGATCGAGCGCGTTTTTGCTAACGGGGATCGATTCAGTCGCGTTCCCCAGGAAGTTTCATTGTCAGCGGGCGCGGTAACGGTGAATTAGCGGTTAAAACAGTCCCTTGTTTCGTTGCAGATGCTGCGCTCGCCGTACCGTCTTCGTCTGTATCTGGCCGGCGAGATCGCGCTCCGATTATGGTGAGTAAATTCTCCTCTCCTTTCTCTCCGCTATCAATTATTTACGACGCAGCGGCGAGCCGTTGTTCCCCGAGGTTTGATTTATGGCCGGCCCGCTCCTCCGTTCGCCTTTCTCCGAATCTCATGGCCTGGCCGAAAATCACCGTCGAATTTTCGCTCGCACGGTGCGGCCGAGCGGCCGTTTTTTAGACAGAACTTCGAAAGTACCAGCGATACAAATAAACGTTTGAAATTGTGAGATACAGAGAAACATATGGTGGTCATGTTTTCTTTATACCGTTGGGCTATCGTGAAGTTTTTTCCGTGATAACGGATATTTTCCGACTCGATTCCAACGTTGTGTGCATAGAGAAGCGGAATTTATTTGCAGAAGTTTCACGAGTTGCATGGAGTGCATTGGCAACCTTCGACTTTCGTTGTGAACAGTCGAGTTTCGGAGTTTTACAGGCGGCTGCAGTGAGTCAATGGTCCTCGCCTCCAGTTGGTTGATATGTTTGAGCTAATTCTACATCTCTTGAATGTTCACATATTATTAATACTCCAAATGTGGTTAAGATATGCTAAATTTTAGCCACTAGTTCGACAGTGTCCTAAATGCTCATAGAGCTGTATAGATTAGAAAAATTGAAAAAACTAAGAAATATCTGTGCCGTGGAAGACTAGACTCGCTGCTACTGGCCAAATGTAAGTTCCCGAGAAATGTAACCTAGAAATATAACGTTCCACGCTGAATTTCTGGTATCCTACGGCATTCTACGAAAAGATAACAGCGACGCTCCATGAAAACGTCAGGTATGACGTTTATATTTGAACCTGCTCCTGCGTGCACGTTTATTCGGGCAGCCATCAGAAGTTTGGTAAATCCGAAGCTCGCAGGAGTCGAAAGGTAGCCTGGCCAGCCCGAGCGGAAAGCTCCGCGAATCTTTCTCATCCCGAGACAATAGCTGCCGCTCTGAACGAAAGCGCTAAAAGCCTGGCGTTGCCTGGCGACCCGGAACCGCGCTAAAACGAATCATCTCGCAACGCTGTTTCCTGTTAACCTTTCCATTCTTTATCGCCCGGCTTCTCGCCACTTTCCACCCTTTTCCTTCCGTTCCCCTGTCTCTTTCTCTCTTCGTTCCTCGCGCCGAACGTCGATGCTGACGAATGGTCTCTGATCAAGAAAGCGGCAGCCGATTCGAACATTTCTTCCTAGGGAGAAATGCTTTCCGATGGAGTTTCAGTTTCATCTTCGACCTCTGAGCTCGGACAGTCTTCAAATACCTTTTGACACTTTCACTGCTAAGTAGACACTCGTCGAAACTCCTACGCAGTCGACAAAGGTGTCTTAATCAAGCAGAAATGATAAAGTCAAGGTTCTTTATAAAGATTACTCTAGTATCTTCTTATATCTCATGTATCCAAAATTATGTTCGTTCAGTGCGTTACCAAGGAAATTAGTGTTCCACTTTATATAAAATCTCGCGTCGTTATTGTTTAACACTAGAACTACCGAGCCTTTAATACGATTGATATGCAATTCCTATAAAAATTGTAATAGATTATTTTCAAAATCTTTTCGAATATTCAGTGCTTCGAAGATATCAATAATTGCTAAACAAAAAAATTGAAACCAATCATTCTGACTGGTACGGTAGTTCTAGTGTTAATCACTGTAGCCAACGTGTGGTCGAAGACAGCGGCTACAGGTCACGTAGGTTTTGCAAATCAAATTCATCCCTTTGCGAATCAAATTCATCCTTTTGCATGTCAAACTCTCCCTTCCAATATTTCGGCCAGAAAATTCGGAAATTTGAGCACTACCGAAAGCTTCGGTTACTTTCAGACACATCCTCGTCCAGCGCATCGGCGCAGCAGGAAACGTCTTCAATTATTGTCACTATTAGTACCGTAGAAAGTAGCGAAGAACATTGACTTTGAAATAGGATTGCCGCGAGTCGCCGCAGCAGACACTCGGACCTCTTCCCTTTTGCCTGGAAATGCGCGCGCTCCGGCGATATCTCGGTCTCTATACATTATGGAACATCCACACCCATCGCGAGCCCGGCGTGCTTTATTATTCGCCGCGTCGCTCGCGATGATATCGCAATAATTTTCTGCTGTCGGGATGTAGGTCAGCTCACCGGGGCGTTACGGAGCGCAGATGAACTTTGAATCGCGTGTTTGTTTATGCGCGCGATAATGGATTCCCATTTACGGGGCCGTGTACGCGCGTCGACGCGCGGTGTAATCCTTTAACGCGCTGGCTGCCATCCCGGTGACCGATCACCGGCGCCTCCGAATTATTTCGAGCAATTATGTTAAGAAGATCCGTGTCGATTAAAGGTGTTCACCGATTCGCGTGATGCACTGTGTATTTCCGGAATTGATATGGTCAACCCTTCGCAACTCAGAGTTTTCGATGGAAATATTCAGCATTTCACGATGATTCGTGAATTAATTGATCGAAGAATCACTTGACAGAACTGCCGAGCATCTGATACGATTGAAATGTAATCGCTATGAATATTGTAGTGATAGATTCTTTTCGGTTTCTTCAGACTCATTATAGTATTCAAGCGAAACTATTTATTTTCAAAATCATTTATTATATTCAATGCTTTGATGATATCAATAATTGTGAAACAGAAAAACTGAAGACATTTTGACTGGTACGATAGTTCTAGTGTTAATTTTTTAAATTTTACATACTGATGCATTCTACGTTTATTATTACATGTGACACCTTATAGTTCCGCTATATGGAACCTTGTAATAAAGATTGTTTCCATGTATCTTCGTTACAAGAGAATAACGTATATCGATCACTGAAAATTCTCTCGCCACTAACGTTGATTCAGTCACTTTTCCATCGACGCCGAGCAGCTACGAAATTACGGCGCGACAGGTCGCATCCCCGCGGAAAACTGTGTCGAAATGTTGTTCCAAAGTTTTTTCATCGGACGGTTCGTTTCCGAGATAATCGAGCTCGAAAGATCGCGTGACCCGCGCGTATTAGTATTCGCAAGTAGAAACGGTCGGCCGTGGACAGACACGTTAGCGAGCTGCCGTTGAATGGCGTGCGCCTCCGATAAACTTTCGATCGCGATTATCTCGGCAACGGATCGTCGCGCGGGAAAAGTTTATCGGTTGTTTTCGACTTGTAGATTCGCTGCTCGTGGTTTCCGGACGTTCATTTCGAAGCGGAACCTACTGGAACCGAAAAACAGAGAGTGGAACGAAGCGGTGTACTCGAAAAACGAGATGAAGAGTAACGCGATTCGAATCGGCGATTAAACGAGGGAAATGGAACACCCAAAGTGAAACGAACGCGACATTCGACGCGATATTCCGCGGATAAGTGCATTTATTAAATGCGATTCAAATGTAATGATAAACCGTCGAAACAGGACGCCACCGTTTTACCACGACGCTATCACCGCTGCGAACCGTATCGCGCCAGATAAACGCGGGACAACGAAAATCGCTGGAAATCGTTTCGAAATTGCCTTTAATTCGATTGTTCGATTGCCGGCGATTAACGCGCGAGAAACGTTCCGGCGAAAACGCGTTTCGAAAGTCCCGGGAGTTGCGTCACAGCTGCGGGAAGATCGAGCGAAACAATTCGGACGAGCAATAAATCCGGCGAGACGTTCGTGGCTTGTTCGAGAAGATGGTCGCGTGTCCGCGTGGGCACGCTACACGGTTCAAGGATTAACGACGGTCCACTGTAATTCGGTGCGCTCGCGGAATCGATTAATCGGTTGCTCCGGATCTCCGTGAAACGGTCGCGGATATTCAAACTACGCGGATATTGTAGTACCTATTTTATTGCTAGTTGAACTGTTGCTCGCGCGTCGATAGACATTAACCGCGCGTAAATACATATTTATTTACCCGCCTCTGTTAAGCAATTATTGTGTGTACATTTTATTGTTCACCCCTGTCGCAAATTTGATGTACATATCTCTGACCGAACATTGTTGTGAACTTAGGAAATGTCACTAATTTTATGATCATAAACAACTTGATTCAAGGTTCAATAAGGAATATTCCTGACGTCGTTCGATGACCACCTGATGATATAACCGTAGATTATTAACACGTTAGCCGCCACGAGAATCTAGAGCGTTCCGCATAACATCACTTAGCATATCATAACAGACGCAAATGGTATTAGAACTAATTAGCAATGATCTGGTAGTTTACTCACTTTGAGTTCACGTCGACGTTAGTTGATTCAATTACAGATTAATACGACGCTCTATTTATTTATTCAAGAATATTTGGGAGTCATTGAAATGTTACCTTTAAATGGTACAATTGTGATGCTACAGATAAATATAGAAAAAATTGTTAAAACAGGTAGAGTCACACTATTATTTAGCTACCCACGCGACTGAACATTTGACATCAGTCTTCTGCCAGTAATTCTTTCCGAGTAATTTAAACGCTCCGGTCATCGGTGACCACCGCAGCAGTCAACGTGTTAACCGATGGTAGTGGTCTTTTGTTTCGTCAGAAAGCGAAGCGTTCCGTAATGGAACGTGTTCGAACGGATAATATAAATGGACGTTAACGCGAACCAGGCCCATTCCGGGATAGACGGACAGGTGTCGATTGGAAACGCGCGCACCTGTTCGCTGGTCCGTTGCCAGCTTCCTCGTGGATCCACCTTCCGCATCTCCATAATCGAACATCCGATCAATCGTTCGTGGGCGTTCGACGTTCGCATGCGTCGGAGGCAAGAGTCCATCAACCGGGATCGCGAGATCGATTTACGGTAACCTTTCACGACCGCGATTCTTGTAATGGGAAAAACAGCTTTTCTTTCGCTATTGAACATTGTTGGAACGAGCGCAAAGTGGTTTATAGATTTTCGATCTCAGCTTTAACTGTTACCCAGCCATTCCTGATGACCTTGATCTATCGACTCAAACGTGTATGCTAATTCACATTTCCTTCAATTTCATAATATCGAGCATCGTGATCTCACTTGTTTCACCATTGCTTTTATAGTC